AACTGAATATATTAGGATGATCCTAATATATTTAGTTATAGCTAGAAATATTAAACCTTGATCCATCCTAATATATTTAGTTATAGCTAGAAGTATTAAACCTTGATTCATCCTAATATATTTAGTTATAGCTAGAAGTATTAAACCTTGATTGAATCAAGGTTTAAGAATTGAGAGACCGAAACATTAGGTTTGTAAGTTGACCAAAACCAATAATTCAAAACAGACATTCAACTTAAGGAAAGTCCAACAATAAATTGAAATTAGAATATCGCAGAATAAAAAGGAAATACAATCTAAAATGCCCAGGCTTTATATATACTATATCAATTTGTGGCTTGAGTGTTGTAATGAGTAAATATTCTTTGTGGGTTCTGTCGTCAGACTGTGACATTTATATAAAACTTTAAAGGAAAAAGAGTTGGTTGTGAGCCTGTAGTATACGAGGCTGTGTTACATGATGTTCTGCAGTAGCTGTGCGCCTTAATCTAATATCTCTGAAATGTTCTTTCATTCTGTCCAGTAAAAGAAGTTTAGCAGTGGAGCCAATGTGTTTTGCAAAGTATACGTTATGCTTGAGTTCACGTATAACATTTTTTATGACACAGTTGCTAATACAAGCACTTTTATTGTGATTTGGGTGCTTTTACATAATTCATTTGATTTGTTAATGATGCCGTGAGAATCTATTTAAGTCAATTTAGTTAAGATGGTAATTCACAGAGCTTTTATGATTATTACTAATTTCTGTAATGTAACTAAAGAAATTGGAAATATAAATAGCATTCTAAGAAAGAGCGAATTTCTGTTAAATTTAATTGATAAAATTATTCCAATAAAGTTTATTCAGCTATACAAAATACTTATTATTCTCAAAAAAAGAAAAATATGGTTAATAATTTGTCTTATTTGGGAAGCTTCTCTTGTAAAGTCAAGAAAGAACTTGTGAAATTTTGTAAAATACTCTATATTCAAGTAAAGTTGATATGTGTGTGTGTGTGTGTTTGAAACCAACCGTTAGGGTTAAAGACTTTGTTAAGTTTAAAGATAAGATACAGAAATGGCAGATGGATAGTTGAATATCAGTATTAATGTTCTATATTTAATTGTAGGTATATTGAATCTAATATGAGATCTTTAAAATTAAGAGCAAAGAAACATTTGAATTTTAGATATAACCCGTTTTCTAGTATTAAAAATCATATCATGAAACAATGTGGTGAACCCCCGACGACAGAATGTTTCTGGAATTATAACTTGAGGTAAAGATGTTAACGAGTTAACAGGAGTATAACGTGAAATAAAGCTTTCAATGAGTTAACAGGAGTATAACTTGAGGTAAAGATGTTAACTAGTTAACAGGAGTATAACGTGAAATAAAGCTTTCAATGAGTTAACAGGAGTATAACGTGAGGTAAAG